GCGATTCTGCACTTTCTCCCAATTTCGCACCTAATCTTCGTCATGATTAAGCACTTTTGTTTCATAAAAGTTCTAGCATAAGCGTAATTCGGCTAGCAGATTGTTGGAAAAAAATGTTGAGTTAAAAAAAAAAAAAAAGTCTTTACTCTGTGAAAACAAAATGGCGTCCCCCCCCAAAAAACTAGCAGGTTGCTGTACCAGGGTTGGTCGCCAAATTTTCGCCAAAAAATCGCCAAGTTACCATAATCTGAAGATTAACCATTTACTCATTTTCATTTAATTTTTATTAATTTTTAATTCATTATTTTCTTACTTATTATTAACTTAACTTATTAATATTTTTATCCTTTTTGGATTTCGCTTAATTATTCATTATTTATTGCTTTATCTATTAGTTTATTTATTTGTTTTCGTTTTATTTACTTGTTTCGTGCGCGTAGAGATTATTGGCGCGTTCCTGTTTCTGACGGCATTCTACAGCGCTCCGCTACTTCTAGTTTTTGAAATTAAACTCTGGATGTAATTTAACAAGTTCAGAACTTTTCATATGCAAGCGGTAAAGAATAGATCTTTAATAAAATAAGCAAATCAAAATATCTGTAAAACTTTTAGAAACGCGATAATAAAAGTAATAAAATTAATGTTGTTGTTTAAGTTAATATTAAGCCGATTGATGAATTATATACATGCCTTCATAAAACAGTCTGCTGATTCCACAAATAAATAAAATTACACTAGATTAATAAATTTAAATAAGAGAGGAAAATGCAGGCACAATTTAATATGAATGTTTTTTTTTACTGGTTAGAATGGTTTTATAAATCGCGGATAAAAAGTCGTGTGAATGCCATATAAAGGAAATAGCGATTTCTCAGCCGATTTCAATCAAAAAGCACAAAATGCCAGTACGCAAAGCAAACGCAAGTCACAAACACATGTTGGCTTTTTTGTGACATGAAGGCAATGCGCAAACCAAAAAAGGCACAGAAGGACAATGCGCAAAGCAAACAAAAATAAATTATTTTTTCCCTAATGGAGCGCATCGAAAAATGTGAAATTACCTGTATTGTGAGACTGCAGTATGCCAAAGAAGCTTGACTCTAATAATAAATACCCATTTACGGGCATTCTGAATGCAAGGAAGTTTTCTTCTAATTCCAGTTTCCCCGAAATTTGGTTAAATATATTTAACAATAGTTCTGCGAATTATTTAAGTTGAATGCTCTCTGTTTTTTCTTGAGACTGAAAGTGAACTTGTGTGTAAATTAATGGCACGTATATAGCAGCTAATACGATAAACGAAACGTAAAGGTTTGAATGCTGATTTTGTCAATACCAGCATTAATTGTGCTAATGTTTAAATTTTATCAAAATTAATTGTACCAATGTTTAAATTTTATCAAAATTAATTGTACTAATGTTTAAATTTTATCAAAATTAATTGTACTAATGTTTAAATTTTATCAAAATTAATTGTACCAATGTTTAAATTTTATCAAAATTAATTGTACCAATGTTCAACTTATGATGAGCCAATAATTGATTAACATAATTTATTTACTGGAAATATATCATAGTGTGATGTGCGTAAATCAAGTAAAATTTCATTATGACTCTAAAATATGAACTGTTTACAAATCTTACCTGAAAATATTCTAATTCAGTCCTTAAACTTCAATCTGGTGAATTTAAAAATTTATTATGTGCATTTCATTATTTTATGGCATGCAAGATTCAACATTACATTAGTATCAAATACTATAGCCAGCTTTCAAATACGTGTAATTCTAACTTCCATTCTTAAATATATATATTTTTTTAAATTCGATGGTGAGCGGCATAGCGTTTATGAAAATTCCGGATACTTCCCTAGGAACATAATCTACGCAAAAGAATTTCTTCCGTGTTGCTGAAGTTCACATGCATTACTAATACTCCAGTTTTTATGTAATATCTTAAGTATAATGTTTATTTTAAGTTAATATCTAACTAATTATAGCCTTTGTTTTAAGTCTATTTAGAATCTCTAGAATTTTCCAGATAGTGGAATTTAGCGTGCTGATGAACATTGAAATTCCATCATCAAGAAGTAGAGGACATATAATTATTCAAATTAAGGGACTTGTATGTAAAACATGCAAATTGTCTATCTACAAAGAACCTAGCTCTAATGTAGCATACAAGAGACACTTAAAAGTTAATGCAATTTCTTCTTGCTACGTGAGGCTTCTAAAATCAGATTAAGTCTTGTGATTTATCACTTTAGAAGGCTAGCTAGGCATTTAACTAAAATGGTAGCTCTCTTCAATTTGGTGAATCCCAAAGGCTGCGAGAACAATTAAGAACTCAGAAGATGGCAAGCGGTGGCCAGATTGAATCTTCGGATTACAAAAATGGCGCGTAGGGATTGTTGCTCTACTACGAATGGATATGGACATCACCTACTAAGCTCAGGTGGTCCAGCAGTGTCAATACATATCTTCAGAAATCGCTTGCGCAATATTTGTTGTTCAAGGATCCAGACGTCCAGCGACAGGTCTTTAATTCCAAGCCACCGCTCTCAATGTCTATCGAATGGCCGAGTGGTTAAGATTGCTGAATACTGGTAGTTCGACTCATGTTCGAATCCAGATGAACGGACTGTCTGCAAGTTTGGTTTGGTTTTTCATAGTTTCCCCCCTGTGTAACGTGAATAAGAGTCAGTCCTCCACAAACGCATTCTTCCCATTAGGCAGATAACCCTCGTGAACTTTGTCGTATTAAAATATCCTAACTCAACATGAAAGGCTATCGTGTAGTCTGTAGTGAAGTTGCGATGGAGGCTAGAATGGAGAACTATTCTTTTCAGCGAGAACTCTCGATTCTGCCTCGAAAATAATAATGATCGGATATCAGAATGTAAACCAAGTGGCCAATAACCACGTGTGCAGTTACATCAAGAAGCCTTTAAAAGTGGACGCCATGCCGATTCTGCTCCATAAGAAATTGTGTAACGACACGAGGGTCGATAGGTGGACCCTTCTAGTCTTCTTACTTACTAGTACCTTGACAGATAAATATTATGTTAATTTCTTCGTGGAACCAGGGGTACGGCCATTCCTACAAGTTATCAAAGAAGCAGTTTTCCAGTACTACAGCTTTAGGTCGCACGCTGGAAGTGCTACTGGGAATAACATGCGCCGATCTGACGTGCCTGCCGCATAGACCGTAGCACGTCATATAGCCGTAGTACGGTATTATAGATATATGCAGTATGTATTATGTTTCACGTACTACAGTATTACGGTTTTATATGTGATGTAGTATGATATTATAGACCATTGCACGTCATATGACCGTAGCCCATAATAAGTATTATAATCAGGTATTATAGACCGTAGTACGTCAGGTATTATACCATAGCACATCAGATAGCACGTTAGACTACCGTATTAGTACCATACCGTGTTAGGTTTGTCTTCCATCGAGCACATTTGGGGCATTATCGTTGGACTATTGCGAAAAGAAGAGCCAGCTTAATGTTTTACCTGCCTATTACTTGCAGCATAGCAAACAATCGTCAGACAATGATTAATGGCTTTACTGGATAGCATGCTAAGGCAGATAACCACCTTTAACAGGTAAATTATATTTCTCCCTGAAAAAAATCAGATGATTTGAATTTTTTTCTTCAGCCTTTTGATCATTTGTATGTGATTAGCATGTCTGTCTATCGTGTGAATTTCTAATTTTGACGGCCTTTACTTCTTGATGCTGCATTTTCAGTGTTCAGCCGTATGTATAAAACCGAACCTATGCAGTCGCATTATTCTTTCAATTTCCTCATTTGCACGGAAGTATCAGACTTGTCTTAGAATATTATATTAGTTTATGATACTGAACAGATAATAAAAATTGCTTGCACAGCGTTATTATCAAGAAAAATTTTGTATACTGAGCTAATGCAAAGAAATGACTCTATAACTTATGTACCAAAGTAAAATTATGTTTTTATAATTAAGATAATATATAGTTAGACAATTTTTACTAATAAATCTATAAGTGGGTGTAACCTAAACATATTCAGGTTATAACTTTCTGACAGAATCTTCTACTGTTTAATTAATAAATGCTGTCTGTGCAAGGAATAAAGAAACAAACATCTTTTTATTTTATTTTCAAATAAAGAAGTTTGTCTAAAATTTATCACGTTTATAGAAAATAGATAAATGGGTCTTTCAAGATTAATTTTTCTAAACAGCTGAAAATTTGGTGTATATTCGCTTTTAAAAGGTACTTACTCTCTTTTCAAAATTTGACAAATAGATTTTCAGAATCTCTGATAATTAAAAAAAATTACTTTCTTGCTAGACTTCAGTTTCCACATTTTTTTTAAATCGACGTACACTGAACTATAACGGAAGAATTCTCAGCTGATCAGTTAATAACCAGATGAGGTTTTTACTGGTTTGAAATGATACTGTAAATATTTGTAAAGTTAAAAAATTAGTACGATTTACAGATATTTATTGCAAAATTATTTGTAGAAATTACAAGGTGGGTACGATTTATATAATAAGCATGGTACTTAATATTAAGCATAGAGAGCTCTTTGTTGATTAGAAATTCATCTGCAGCATCTGTTTAGAAAATATGAAGCTCTATAAACAATGTTCATAAAATGCTCTCTTGTTCATAAAAACTTGTAAAAACACATATATATATATATATATATATATATTCTTAGGGATTAAATCTGTTTTTAAAGTAACTTCTGCCTTTTGAAATATATTTAAACGAGGGTTAAATAAGTGTTCTTCCATATTCTACATTCAAAGAGTTGTCTCATTTAATTATCTTAGTTTTGCACGGAAAAACGCGTATTTACCGACAACAGCAGCAAAAATAAAAACAAATAACGTAGCCTGTTTAGTTTTATCTATAAAATGAGAGCTGATAAAGAGTTTAGAACAGATTAAACAGTGATAACCAACATTATCATGATGTAACCTCGCCAATACCGTCACACTCATGAATGTGTTGACAGAAAGGATTCACATTGATTGCGCCTTATATTTTGTGTTCTTTGCGAGTTCTTTAGTTGTCATTTGATAGCTGAGTTTTCCCATAGATTCTGTTTCTTGAAAATGTAAGTGTTTCTTGTTTTCTTATCACCTGTAATTTTCGTAAGTTTAACCCTTAACTTGGCAGAAAAGGAGAAATGTATACTTTAGTGGGAAATCATTTTAAGTAAATGTACTCAATGTTTATGCGTTCTGTTACTAGTGTTCGATAACTGCGATAACTGTTGTTTTAAGCAAAATGTGAAAAATATGAAAAAAGGAAAAAAAAAGCTTCTTAATTGAATCTAATTTTTTGCATATCGTTACCTTTTCCGCATATCATTCTAAATTTTTATAGCTCATAGTACTGTTCCGTAAAGGTCCTTGATCTGAGTCAATTGATGATTTTACTTTGTTCTGTACTGAGACCGTTGTTATATTAAAAAGGGAATTTCCATAAATGTATCGTTAATGCAGAACACGTAAGCAATTTAAATAAACGATTTTCTGTTTAATTGGCTAAGAGATGCCTGCAAAAAGTGATTTATATGAGTTTCTGACCGATTACTTGAAATGTTCTGTTGTTTATAATTTTAGTGATTTCTTTAGATTAAGTAAGAGTTTTATGAAAAGATATACAAATTAAGAGTTCAAAAACCTAAACTAAAAGCGATAGTTTCTCTTCTCGAAACCATTTCAGAACAACATTATTACGCAACACGTCAAATGGCTTATAAAAAATCGAAAACTATCTTTGCACACTTTTTTAATAGTTTCCGCTTTTTGCAATCAATATTTTCCTCATTCAATAGCTACTCAAGAAAATTAAGTAATAAAGACATCAATAAGACACCCACTTTACCAATAGGGCACGCAGTTTAATACTATTCTGCCCTGCATTCTAGGAGCATTGAGGCTATTCACCACAGAAGACTGGCCCCAATTTGCATACACCCAAAGTGAAGGAAATGTAGTACGTTGATATCTTGTTACCTACGAACACTAAACTGCAAATAATCAAAAAATTCAACTAACCATTATGTCAGACTGATGTCAAAAAATCTATTGCATTTACTTGAAAATCAGTGTTTTTGATGTATCAATCACATATTAATAGATATTGCATCAGTTTCGTCCTATATGTATCAGAAGTTTTTGATGTATTCATTGTATATCAATAGTCTAGTATTTTTATTAAATTTACAAAAATATAAATATTGTATAAAATATAATAAGTAATCAGAATCTATAACATTAGTATAGAATTGTTCTGTTCCTAAAACGGGTATGCTAATTAACTTTTAGCTATTCAATTTAATATTCCAAATCGTTAATGGTACAGACTGAAAGAATGAAGAAACAATGAAAATTGTTCGATGAAAATTATGAATGAAAGCAGTTACAGAAGTAACTATGAAGCTTTTTCGACTCTTTATTTATTCATTTATTTTATTTTCGTAGCCTTCTTTTTTTTTTAGTTTAGTGTTCTTCTGCGTATTTCTATTCTGTAAAATAAGTTTACATCTTGGTACGTTATAAGTCTTTTAATCTCAATAGTGAATCTCTCATTTAATCTTAATTTCAATTTCAATAATCACCCATTTCATAGGGCGAGGCTGTTTCTGCACACTGCATATTAGGCCTTGTTTTTATAGATAAGTGAAATTTTATGACTCCAGGGACACTACGGTGACAATTTAATGATTAAAGGACTCCACATTTATTTAGTACGAATAGTTCGCGTGGTTACTAAATTATTAAATTTTTCGCATTGCTTTTTAGTGCGACTAATAAGCGATGTTATGGTTAACTGTTGACATGACACTGTTAATTAAATTTTTAACTATCTCAAAGAAACTCTTGATTGGCAAAATGGCTGCGCTGAATGGCAATTATCGCTCTCGACGTTATTTTTCTCCTATTTGTTATTTTTTGTTGTTGTTGTTTTTTCATAATGCATTTCCCCTTTCTCCTTCCTATCTGGTCTCCGTACACTGCGCCAATCATCTCGATGTTTCCCTTTTCCCCCTCACACTCCATGCAAGACGTAATATTTGTGATTTGTGTAGACTGTTATTTCCACCAGCGACAAGGTGAGTGTCAAAAATACCTCATAGGCTTTGGGGCGAAAAGCTAGTTTTTATGGAGATTGTTAAGCAAAACTCAACCCCACTTTGCAGTTTATCTTACTGAATGCGCTCTTTTCCCGGTTTTTGAGTAGAGGATATTTTGGATTAAACTATCCTCAAAAGTCAGTTGCAGTTAGATGTTTGCTTCGTTGCACTCATCCATCAGTGCAATCGTATATAATCAATCTGTCACTAGATTTGTTACATAGCTGTTAATTTAATAAGTTTGTGAAAGGCAAGCTGTAAGTATTTTATTGAAATATATTTATTCTGTCTCATGGGATGTCTGTGTTCTTAGCGTATGTTAGCCCCGTTCTAAAATTTTATACATAATTTCTATCAAATTTCCATCGTGCATTTTTGTCCTATACTTCAGTGGCCTAAAACTAGAGGCCTGCGAATACCTTTCAGTTATGTACGTATTTGTTGCAGGATTTCAAGATTAAAATTTCAAGATTTGAAGTCAGAGTTTACATTATTTCCATTACCATTAAAATGAATGTGAATCCAGAACATCTATAAACGGAGCTAATTACTTTACTGGTGGGATTCAAATCTTATTCAGTGATCTGAAGATGCAGATTTGATTAACTTTTATTCGTACTCGACAAAAGATAAATACCCTCATTTACGAATTTTTGCGCTAGAAATAATCGCTTTGTCGGGAATAAATTTACACGTAAACTGCTTTTTTTCTTAATAGCAAATTTATTTATAAGGAAAGAATCCAAATGACCGATATGACAATCTACAATTCGTGATGAAGATAATTGCTAGTAATTTCCCGCTAAGGTAACGTTATCAGAATCAAAACGCCATTCTGTGTCAAGCTTCAGTAAGAAATAAAGACGTTTATAATTGTTTACATACAAACATGGGTATTTTTATTTACGCATCGAAGAAAAATTTAATAAATAAGAGAAAGAGAGTAAGTTGTCATTATTTATTCTCAGGTTTTGTTGTTCTTAGAAAATCTTCTCTGAAAACTTAGAAAGTTAGAAAATAAATATTAATTTGAAAATGAAAACTTAGAAAATAAATATAATTTGAAAATTAAAACTTAGAAAATAAATATAAATTTGAATTTTTTTAATTTGGGATACTGTTGTTAATGTTCAATGCATGTTCTGATAAAATTTACTCAGCAGAATTTTAAATTAATTTCAAATGCTTAATTATTTTCTTAATACAAAAATTTTCATTTTGTTTAAAAAAAGGGGGCCGTCAGCTGTTTTTAGATCGTGCGTTCAGCCTGCATGCAACTTGATTTTCAGACCACTGCTATAACTGATCACGAATCTTGCTATTACTTCTGGGAATTCTTCCTATTGCTTCTTGAATTCCTGAAAATTTTTTTAAAATTTTAACTATTATTCAATGATTATCTTTTAGTGATTTTTAAATAAAAGTAAGAAATGCACTCGGAGGATGCATTCTAGAAATTTACTGAATATTTTATTATGCATAAGTATTGTTAATATGCTCTTTTTTCTTCGTGTCCTCTATGTCAAGTAAATTAACCTGTTTTAGAACAAAATTTACCATTTGCTAAGAGTAGAGATTTCATAAATACTGTATATTCGTTTAGCAAAATTGTACGAAAATCATTAAAACGAGGGCAAAAAATGAATGTATAGTAAATTCTGTAGGTACATTAATGAAATTTTATCTTTCTTTTTAAAAAATGTTTTGAGTATTAAAACTGAATGTGTCTTAAAAATCATCGTTTGTGACAGAATTAATTTTCAAACAGCTATAATTTAATTTACGCCAATAATTAAAAATTTATGTATCGGTATTATACATTTTTGAATTCTTTATCCGCTTGTTAATTAATTGCTAATTTAGTTTTAATAAATACATTGATAGTAAATTTCTTTTTTTATGTTATATTTCTTATATCACATATATCTGTCTACATGAAATTTTCATTTAAAAAATTAAATTCTCTTTGTTATGTATTGCAGGCAAAACTCTTTTGGAAAGACGGACTGCTGTGGAAATCTTGCCAATGGAATTTGCTACGAGCTCATACCTCTTGAAGTAAGTTCGCAATTTTTGTTATTTCCGTCTTTTTAGATTTATCATTTTGCAGAATGACCTACAATATTTAGATTCAGCTTTCATTATTTAGAATATTTTACATCTTAAGTTTCGTGAAAATTTTTAAACAAAAATTTATTTCCTATAGCAGTAAATCTTTGTGCAGAGAAACGTGGAAGGACGTAGAGATTTTCATTTTTCCGATAACGAAAATAAGGTGCCAACAGTTATTGCGCAGGGATTGATATAGCATCTTTTTAAAACTGTAATAAACAAGGAAGGCTGCAACCGATGTAAACATTTTTTCTAGAAGTTGAAAAACCCGAGATCCAGGCTTCTAACATTAGAGTGTCGGCTGGCCCAACTCTCTTAGGTGATCTCACAAACCTGATCATCCAGTTGAAATGAGAGAGGGAGAATCGTGATAGTTCAGAAAACGTGGATTAAAAAGATGAAATAAATATTTCTGGTCGTTCTTTTGTATTTTGTATTTTCTGTTGCGAGATTGATTTCTATTCACAGTTACTCCTAGATGAATCCGTGTTCTGCTTATAGTATTATGAATAAGTTGTTTACATTTTTCCAATACAAAATTTGAAACTGTATTTCTTCAGATAGTTCACAAAATGTTAAAATGTATGTCTTTAGCCAGTAAGAAATTAGAAGCATTTTTCCGTGTATTTCTTATGATGCAAGGATTAACATACTCATCCAACATAGCCAATGTCCTGTGTTCGACACTGGACGAAGGCATAATTTCTTTTCAGGTAGTCCAAACTTCTAAAACTCGCTGTCTTTAGAAGTTGGCAAAATCAAAGTTTTAAACAAAACAGTTAATGCATGCCTTTTTAAAAGTATGTTATCTAGATATGTTTTTCAAAGCAAATCCTTGTCAGTTTTTTATACCTTATAGGTTTTAGATTTATAATTATTTATTCGACATGTTATAAAATTTGAATTTGTAAATAGTAACATAATTTGCACATACAGTGAACCCCTGTAAAACGACAGTCCAAAGTTTTAGACTATTTTGTGTTTTCTGTAGAGGTCATCGACTTAAAATATCTGACTATCATTTTCTAATGCCGATATTTATTTACATTCTCAGCAATGCAGGTCGTTTTCAGGTGTTGTCGCCACGAAATATTTCACCTTATAACTTTATTTTTGCGTATATTTTCCTTTATCATATTTCAAAGCCTGCCGTCAGTTGAGAGAAAAAATAGATGCCTGCTGACGTGCGTCGACAAAATGACGTCAGCCAAAGCATGAGGAGGGAAACTGTTTTTATGAAGAATGATTAGCTGAGCAAACTTGTTTTGTCTCTAGTTTTAGTACTATCATAAGGTCTTTTCACAAAACAATTTTCGTTTATCACTTAGTTCTTTCTTAAATATTCAGAATATGATTTAACATGGGGAATAAAAAAAGAAATAGAATACAAAATGGAACCTCTAACAGTAAAAATTTAAGAATATTATAATAAGCACTTTTCTTTTTCGGCTGCCTATCTATTTCCGTTTTATTTTAATTAAATGCATGTGATTTTCTCTCAAGAAATTAATTCAAAATTGATTAATTGGAAATTCCCTCACATTTGCTTATGTACTTGTAGCGGTACAATGAGTTCAGTAGCAAAATAATAAGATCAAGTTGTTATTGATCCATGGTTATTAAATGCATTTATATTAACATTCCTCATATATAATATATTTTTCGGACATTTTACACAATATACATGAAATGGCAAGTAATAGAAATGGTATTCAGAAGCGATATGCCATAAACGTATGTTCACTTGTGAAATATTTAGATAGATGGATACCTATTCTGTACTGTCATGGTTCTTTTATTTAATTTAGCAGGGCAAAACATATGAAGACTATTTCCTAAGGGAAGGGATGTCATCGGGGAGCTATTTCTAAAGGAAAGTGCCTTATAGCTTCGTTACACATTAGTAATGCTATGAAAACATTTATGTACCCAGCCCGTTTATAGAGATTAGAACCAGCCTCTTGTGATTGCAAGTTGATGCAATCTAAATAGCAATATAGTTCAAAAAATTTACTTTGTATTCTGTCTAAACCTGTTCTATCAGTCTGTGTTAATATCATTCTCTGAATCAGCCAATCACTTTATTTTCATCCAGATTGAATCTGCAGGTGAAGGAAATCTGGAGAATACTTTTAATTAACTACGCACAGACACAAGAGAAAGTTTAACTAAATCAATCTAAAATTTTATTTCACATGTTCGCAATCTTTAGGCCATAAACTAATTTTTTTACTCATTATTATTCATAAAAGCATTGCCATTTAAAAAAAAATATCTAATCATATTATCCATTTAGTATAACTTTGAAAAAAATTATAATGATCGAGATTTACATTTTCATGCAGAAGGTTTTTCCAGCTTTCTAGCAATCCTGATACTTTATAACAGCGATTTTCAAACCTTTTTGATCGCACACCCCTACGACGGAAATTATTATAAGTTGTACCTTATGTAATATAGTATACTATAATATAATACTCTGACGTCCAAAATTATCTTTACATGCATGAAATCACGGATTTCTCAGAAACTGTGAACTATAATTTTATGAAATTTTGTGGAATAATGCATAACATCATAATACATAAATACAAAGAAAAAATTGAAAAGCACTGAATGTGCTACAAAACTGTAACATGAAACACTAAAAATGCGAATAAGGACAGTTCGGAAAAAAAAAAGAACTCATAAAAAAATAAGGCTTATGAGTTTAACGTGAAACGGGATCTTCCTTGACTTATACACACATGCCACAACATGTTTTCATCTGGTCGTAACATTATTAACCAGTTTGGGGAATTAAGTTCCACTCTTCCAACAATACGGTATTGAGGGCATTTGCATCTTTAGAATTAGAATGACTCCGTGCAACTACTTTTTCAATGTAGTCCCATAAGTTCTCTGTCAAGTTAAAATCAGGAGATTTTGCTAACCACGAAGTTCGCTCAGTGTCTTCACTTTCAAGGAGTTCGTCAATGAGGTTTGTTCGAGGGGAACGAACATTATGGTCCATAAATAAAATACCAGATCCACGTATACCTCTGAAAATTTTATACAAGATTCTAAACCTCATCATGATACCATTGCCTGGGTTACAGATGCGCTGTTGAAAACGCGTAGAGGCGTATGTCTATAAATCATTATTCCTCCTCATACCATCATATCTGCATTATCGAAACGGTCAAGTTCCATGGCGCCCAGACGAGAAAGTGTTTAGTGGCTCTTACTGCCGTACCGAAGGGTCTGTGTTCGAATTCTGGAGAAGGCACGGATGTAAATTGCGTTCTTATAGAAGGTAATGGTGGCCGCCTATTAGGTGCCTCCATAATAAAATGACCACCGCTTCTGGCATTCTGTTAGTGGCCAGAGCCTAAAATAGCTAGTGTCCGCCATTGAGAGGGAAAGGTCACTTTCCATAATGCTCGAAGGAAGACTTCGCGTTCGTAACTCCTTCCAGATGTAAACACGTTTAGAGTCAGATTTTAAATGAAACCTCGACTCATCAGTAAAGAGAAACGTGGAACCTTTGGTGTTCACTCCAGTTCTGATGGTCTTTGCAACAGCTAAAGATTCGTCTTTTGTTACGAAGACAGTGAAACACATAGCTTTGACTTTCTTGCATAAAAACCTTTTTCATTAAGCCTTCTATATGCAGTTTGGTGTAATATAACAGTTCTAGCGGCCACGGCAAACAGTATTAGCATAGAAAATGTCTGTCTTGGAAGTATTCACACATGTCGTTGCTTCCATGATTGTCTGTCCTATTTCTAAATGACCCATGATTCGTTACTTCACAGATTCTTCCAGATGATAATTCGGAGCCGTGACAAAGCATTTTGAATCCTTACATACTTAAATCAAATGCTATATTGTTGAAATTCAGTCAGATATTCACTCTTCGCAAAGCGCTTGATGCACTGTCAGATGACGTAAAGCCTTAATTTGTATATCAGAAACCGTTTGATCACTTTTGTTTAGATAATGCTAATTAGGTTTGTTTTTCACACATTCCCTGGAAGAATGGATTATATAGATTGGATATTTCAATAAATGTCATTATTTTGGGGTATGTAAACATAAATTTGGACATGAGTATACAATATAATGTAATGCAATATATTGTATTATGATGTAATATCATTTAATATAATGTAACATAACATAATATAATTAAAACCCGTGCAGTTATAATGTTGAGCTCTCCAAACGATATTGAAGCGAGACACAGCGACAGATGAGAGAATCTCGAACTCACGTTCATATAATCGTAATCTTGAGTCTAAATCTTTGGCGTAGCCCCAAATATTACTTCGCGTACCCCACTTTGGAAGCCAGTGCTCTGTAGTACATATAAATGTATCTCTGATTTAAGTTCTGAGAGCATTATTCCGAATTTGATTGGAAGATACTCTTGTGCAGAGTATTAGTAAGCGTTGTTAACTGATATTTTGAATCTCAAATGTTAAATTAAAATAGTAGAATTCATCACAGTATTAAAAAAAGGGCTTAGATCTTAGGAAAGATCAAGATATTTAAATTGGAAATTTTCTCCGTGGAAATAAGATTATCGTTATCAAAAGTGTCAAGAATATTCAACATAGTTTCATCCCGCTTTTCTCCCATTTTCAAAAGACACGATATCATTGATGTTTTCCTCACGTAACGCAGATACAAGTATCTTTTCCTCACAAAACTGTAATCCAAAATTCACCATAAATAATTCTTTTAGATTCATTGTAACGTCAGAGGCAAAAAAGTGAAAATTAACACAGAAATAGCTTTATTTTTCAGATTATGAATATTATGAAGTGTAGTCCAAGTTTGAGCTAGTTTCTTTCTCTAAGCCTCCTTGATGGCACTTATCGCAAAGCTGACTGGATTTGCTTAATTTCGACAATCAAATCAATGAGAATTTTTTTAATATCGGCTAGTATTCCTCTGTATAG